CTTGCCGCGAAGGAAGCTCAAAACGCCGGCCACGACCTGGACATCGACGACATCGGCAACGCCACGAACATCACTGCTGCGTTGTTTGGGGATGGCGCAGCAGACTTGGCCAGAGATTAACAACAGCCTTCAGGAGTGGAGCGCGGCTCTGCAGACTCCTCTTTCATGCGCAGAACGCTTCTACGAAGGCAAATGAACGTTGCAGATAGTCGGCGCTCACCATGTTGCGCAGCCTTGGGCGCTCGTGTTTAATGCTTGTGATAGCCGTCCGGAACAAATACGTATCGTATTCTGCGTCAATTTTCTGCGTGTGTGTCGGTGCAGTTGATACCGAAATATATTCGTCAGCAATGTGAAAAGTAATCGTATTATTTATGAATAGTGGCTACATTTGAGACGTCCGAGTATTAACGCGGCAGCGTCAAAGAGCTCGTCACAGAAGCTCGTTCCGCAGAAATTCCGGCGTCGGTGTCGGCGTCGTTGGTTGTGAGCGAAAAATCATCTTATGCGTAACCGAAAAATCGAGAACGATGCAAATAAAAAAATCTTGGGTCTGAGTGGGGATCGAATACGGGCTGTTTACGGGGCAATTATAAGCGGGTCTTCTACCTAAAGAGGATTAAATTAATTTCTGGAGTGTAAATCATAGCCTAAGATTGAAGCCGTGCCTCTGGCAAGATGGCGGCTGCGGCGGCCATCTTACTTGGGGCATGATGAAGTATCACCGTTCAGCGATTAGAAACGGAGCGTTTCCCTCGCAAGCCCAACGATTGTAATGTGGAAACTTTTTCGGGTCACATAGTGCTCCAAGTGCGCCTTAGTGAGCCTCCGATTGGAGGCAAAATACTAGAGAAATTCAGTCAACCATACTCGTTGTTGTGTGTTATCTCGTCGGGAACAACTGTGATTGATTGATATGTGGGGTTTAACGTCCCAAAACCACTATATGATTATGAGAGACGCCGTAGTGGAGGGCTCCGGAAATTTAGACCACCTGGGGTTCTTTAACGTGCACCCAAATCTGAGCACACGGGCCTACAACATTTCCGCCTCCATCGGAAATGCAGCCGCCGCAGCCGGGATTCGAACCCGCGCCCTGCGGGTCAGCAGCCGAGTACCTTAGCCACTAGACCACCGCGGCGGGGCTGGGAACAACTGTGTTTTAATATAGAACTAACGTAGGATTAACACTAACATATAAAGCCACTTGATCTCTAAGTGGGCACTATCAGAAGAGAGCATATGTTTCCGCCATCTTGGCAGTGGCGAAAGATGGCTCCACTTCTGCTGGCAAGGCATTGCGGGAACTTCCACTCCAGCAATTTTTTTAAAATTCTGCTTGGTTCTACCACACAGCCGCGCTTCTGCTTGCAAATATAGTGGAATAAATTAGGGGACACGAGCTTCGCCCTTAAGAGTTGATCACGATAGCGACACCCTGTCCCTGGTGCGTACTTCAAATACATGATGCATGAAGTCTTCTCGATTTGATTGATTTGTGGGGTTTAACGTCCCAAAACCACCATTTGATTATGAGAGACGCCGTATTGGAGGGCTCCGGAAATTTTGACCACCTGGGGTTCTTTAACGTGCACCCAAATCTGAGTACACGGGCCTACAACATTTCCGCCTCCATCGGAAATGCAGCCGCCGCAGCCGGGAATCGAACCCGCGACCTACGGGTCAGCAGCCGAGTACCTTAGCCACTAGACCACCGCGGTGGGGCGCATGAAGTCTTCTCGAACTACGTGGTCTTAAGGTAATAGGCGCAGTAACGTGTGCGCTTTTTGTAGCGGGTGACCAGCTTTAAACCATCTATAATCATATATAATAATCACAAGTTCTGACGCTTGATAGCAATGTACGCTTGTACCACGCATTACTACAATATTTCATCTTGTACATGCAAACAGGACGCGCGTGTTTGTAAAACATAAAAGTTATTTTCACTGCATTTCCAAGCAGACGGAGTAGTGTTCACTGTATTCAATAGCATATGCGTGGGTGATAGAATATCCGCCGGCCGCGCAAACGACCCGGGTCTGATACCCATCCGGACCCACAATTTATTATTTCTTTTATTTGCATCGTTCTCGATTTTTTTTTCGGTCACGCACAAGATGATGATTTCCTGCTCACAACCGCCCCGCCGCGGTGGTCTAGTGGCTAAGGTACTCGGCTGCTGACCCGCAGGTCGCGGGTTCGATTCCCGGCTGCGGCGGCTGCATTTCCGATGGAGGCGGAAATGTTGTAGGCCCGTGTGCTCAGATTTGGGCGCACGTTAAAGAACCCCAGGTGGTCAAAATTACCGGAGCCCTCCACTACGGCGTCTCTCATAATCATATGGTGGTTTTGGGACGTTAAACCCCACAAATCAATCAAATCAATTCCTGCTCACAACCAACGACAAAGACGCCGGGATTTCCGTGAAACGGGCTCTTTAACGCTATCGTGTTAGTAACTTCCTCTGCGTGTAAATGCAGTGAAAGTAACTTTCATGCTTTACAAACACACGCGTCCTGTATATACACGCTTCGCAATACAACGTGCAATATTGCAGTAATCATGCGTGATACAAGCGTACGTAAATTGTCCTGTCGATCAGAACATGTGCTTATCATAACGACACTGTTGTTTAAGGCCAGTCACCCTCTACAAAAGGCACTCAGGTTACTGTGCTTATTCACTCAAGGCCACGTAGTGGATGCATCGTTCGAAAAGATTTCATTCACTAATTAGGCGTTCGCTATGACGTTCAGCTTCTCAAGGCGAAACTTAAGGACGACCCACACCCTCTCCCATTTTTGAACGGATTTTCGTTTTGCCATAGTAGAATACTAAGGGCTCTAAACCGTTAATCACTTTGTCTAAAAACATGAACTCACTTGTGGGCGCCGGCGCCAGTGAAAACATTCTGGCACCGAAGCACCCCTGCGTCGCAGCCACCCTTGTCCTACTAAGTAAAGTCGACAGATTCGAAGCGGTGGATTGTTGGTTGTGTAGTGGGCAATTCGCAAGGCAGTGACTAGTGGGACCATCTCTGAGTGCGAAGCGCGAGCATGTGCACAAGCTGTAGACGCTGGACTGCTCGAGCATTTGTCTGCCTACTACCTGGCGTCGCTATTAAACTTCTTTGCAATTTAGCGCGGGCGTCTACAGCTCGTACACACACTCGCGCTTCGCACTCAGAGATGGTCCTACTACATAGTCATTCCCTTGCGGATTCCCCGCTACAGTTGGTTGTTCCTCAGAGTCCTGGCGCAACCCACCACGGGGTATCAGCCATGAAACAGATGGTACCTCATTTGTGAGATCGAACTGTTTTACCAGCCGGGTTATTTAGATAGGGATGTTTAAACAAAGAACACATTGGTAAACGATGAATCAGAAATAAAATAAATGGAGGTAATAGAAAAAACGAACAAGCTAATATGGTTTGAAGTAAAGTTAATTTGTGCCTCAACTTAACGTTCTATTCATTTTTTTTTTTGCCTTTAGAAAATCACATACGGACGCATAAACGTTCCTGTGGCTTAACCCCTTTTCAGTTGCTCTAAGGGAAAGGACCACTGGAAGGAATAAATTTAGAGCAAACCTACGAAGAGGTTCTTCCAGCAGCCTAGGCTCTTCCTTTGATTTGTATATAACCTGCACGTTAAGAGGAAGTGGTGACGGGATTCATTCTCGTTGCAGTGGAGGCATAGGGGAGACATTACCAGACCAGACCTGTGTAGATAAAATTAAGGGGGGGGGGGGGGGACTGTTCATTGTAGTCTCGTAATTGATATCTCCGCCATTCTAGAGGAGCACCATCGGTTTTCCCTGGGGTACTTAAGATGAGAAACACCGGATGTTGCCAAGCGAGGTTTTTCAGAATGATCTGATATGACACATTTTTCGAAGCGTGCCACGGCGATAAATGCTAGCGTTGTTGGAGGCAATCACAAACCCAGACATTGCCAAACCCCGTTCATTTTAGGAGAGACGTCTATTCGAATTGTACCAGCAAATTGTGTGGCAGGACATATCATGTACACGCCACTTAACCACATCTTCTGGGAATGTGCAATTTTATCAGATGAAAATGCAGTCTCCCCAGATGAAGCTGCCGCGCGGTGGACGGCCACTCTGCGCAGCTTTAACTTCCAAGATCAACTGTGAGCCATCCGGCAAGTCCGTGAGACAGCGAGGAGACGGGATCTCCGGTCCGCCTGGGGCGGCCTAGGCCCAGGTAGGGTGCCCAGGCCACGAATTTGCCGGAGTTTTTAGTAAAGTTACTAGTTGTTACCACCATTTTGCGCCCCCCTCTAAGATAGCTGGGGGGTGGGGGGTGGAGCACCCACCTTTTGTTCGCATGTCTATGCGCATACAAAGTGCAAAAAGTTCGATGGGGGGGGGGGGGGGGAACGAACTCTTTAAACCCTTTCTCTGACCGTTACGACAGAGATATATACCTAGAAACAGTTATTTCGACAATAAGTTGGCCGGAACGAGAAATGTTTGTTTTCACAAAGGGAGGAGTATGTGCGTAAAGTTATTCACGAGTGACTTATACGGCAATCGCAGCATGCAAGCGACGGTGCGGGTATTTTGATTTTACTGGTTATTACTAGCCTCATTTAAGTGGCTAAACTTGCAAGCCATGATAAATGATGACCGCTTCTGTAACCGAGCCAAGTGATGACGACGTATTGCTATAAATTGGAGCTTTTTTGTCGTACCGAGGTTTTATTAAGGCATTTCTGAGGTCATTACGATGATTTAATGGTCGTTAGAACGCTATCAGCTACCAATGACAAAGCAAGCTATTTGAATAGCGCGCTTTTTTTAAATCACTAAGCTAGACCATATTCAAGAGTTATTTTGCCCTAATTTCGACTACAACATACTTTAGAAGGCTTATATGAGCTTGAATGGTTAAAAGTTTATATTTCATTTGGTGTGTTGTTTTGTCAAGGGGCGCGCTATGCTTTTCTACTTCAGGGTAAATTACTCCAAGAACCTCAACCATAGCTCTACTTTCTATATACACCATTTTTACTCTCTCTCTCTATCTGCTCTCGATGTATGGTGGGTTAGCCATGGCGGCGAAGCTTGCACGGATCCCTTGCTTGAAGCTTCATGCGGTAACGTTTCCTCGACGTTCTCACGCTACTTAGTACGTTCAGAGCCTTTGTTATGCGTAGGCCACCAACGTGGAGCTTGCACCCTCACTGGCGTACAGGCTGCACGCCTCGTTGCCCGGCATGACCGGCAATGCTCTTGAAGGTTAATGCTTGGGGGTCACTTTCCGCCGAACTCTGGCATGACTGTTCGCTCAGTGATCGTGCTTAATTGCTCACCGTAGCGAAGACACAATCTTCTTCGAAAGCTTCGTTTGGTGCACACTCCGCGCATTCCGGATTCTCCTGGGAGCCCTGATCGATCAGGGTGTCCACCGTGGCTGTCGGGGGCCATTTCTTGCCCTGTCGCGTTATTTCGTAGTACTGCCGCCGCTTTCGCCCCCAGTTTACAGTATGTTGTGGCATTTAAGCCCTTCACCCCGCTCATAACCGATTACGTTCACTGTTTGTTGCCTACAAACTTCGTACACGGTGATTTAGTGGCAGGAACGTCGTTGTTGCTCGGATATGGGCTTTCGGTTTGCATCCCTCGCATTCACACGGGCCCTGAACAGTACTTCGCTGTGTTCAGCCGTTGTGGAGCATGATAAAGTTGGGCCGTTGTGCGCTTTACACCTTTTCAACAAAACACTTTTCCTCAAAAATAAGTAAGGAATAAAAAAAAAGGGGGGGGGAAAAACAGATATCTGTCACCACATGCAGCTCTCGTTTCGTTTTCTGCCATGTGGCGCCGATTGGCCCACTCGAATCGCGTCGGTCCGAATTTGGACGTCGTTTTCTTGCACACGGCATGTAATTGCTCTGATAGTGTGTGTTTAGGCATATTATTGAGAACATAAGCTCAATTAGCCAAACTGACGTAGTTGAGATAGGGGCGTGTTCTTTTTTTTTTTTTTATTTCTGAAACGTTTTGTACAAATCGATGGCACTTCCCACCTTGGGTCGGCGACTCCAGATGCATGGTCAAATGCACCATGGTACGGCCACTGTCATAGTGTGTGTGTGCGGGTGGGGGGGGGGGGGGGTTATGTGAGTGCAGGGGTCAGATAATGGCGTGCTTAACAAAACCAATAGCTTAGAGCCTCAAAAAAAAAGACAATAAATAAATAAACATCGACATAGCCAACAGAAATCTGGCCAAACGTTTTCCACGAAATAACATCAACTAAGCTGCCTAACTTTTGTGAGAAACTGACGAACATCTTTTTCTCAAAAAGAAAACTGAAGATCAAGAGATATATTTTATTTTGCTACATTCATTAGGATATGGGTAACAAGTCTTTCATTAGATGCATCATGAATGTCGCATACGCCGAGTTCGCGAATGCTTGGACATGATACTGAATTCTTTCAGATGCCACCTATGAAGGACCATTTCTAATTGTGCCATATCGCTTCAACATTACTTCAAGGCACTGAGTATTCTAACAGTGCCAGGCAGGCTAGGAATATAGTGCAAATTCATTTTCTGTTATGTTCATTTTGAGCACAGAAAATTTCTTCTTTTCACATGGCTCGCAGGAAGCGGCACGTCGCACAACTCGTCGATCGTGGTAGTGCCTTCAGAAAAGTGATCATACGTATCACTACACTGCAATAGGAGGTTAAATGAAGGCAAATTTAATAGGCAGGAGCTTCAGTTAATCCGGAGTACAATATACCTTGCTCTTTCTTAGCCTCTACTTGATGCAAATAGGGAAAATGAGTGATGTACACAATTGTGTAGATATTGCACAAAGGGTCAAGAACACAAGCATCATAGCTGGCACCTGGCTATATTGTAAAGTAAGGTTACTCGTCTGTTTAGGATTGCACAATCTATAAGTGACTGTTATAAGGTAGTTTTAGTGAACCAATATTACAATTACTATGCAGTGAAATAAATGTTCATCAGTCCTGGTCAAGTCCATAAGCCAGTAACATTGAAAGCAGACAAATTGAATGAAAATTATGGTCGCATCAAAATCGCATGGTTGGTGAGTCGCTCCTGTGTGCATGTAATAGTGCACAAAAAATGACATGTCTTTTTGTTTGCCATCTCAAGTGAGCCATATTTGTGTAGCCTGACCGTGATGCTTCACATTTTGTTGCAGTTGCTTCAAAATTGTTATTCAAGTTTGCCTTCTTGTTGTCCTGTGCCGCCTTCTGCAATTTTGGTAGGGACGGCCACAACTGGTGTCGCCAGAACAAATACCTCCGAGATTGAAAGGCGTTGTGCAACTTTTCTGCTGGGAAAAGGGTACACGTGCCTTGGAATCGTAAAAAAATTGCCGATTGGAAGACTTGTTCTGACTGTTTGCATGTAGGTTCGAGCCTTTGCCGCACAAGCGTCCCCAAAAGTATCGCAGAGCAAGTTGGAATGCCTGCCCAAGCAAGACATTGAGGTATGCCCCACACTTCCTTGCAAGAACGAACTTGTTGCCCGTACATATGGGAGAGCATATGCGACTGGGCGGTCACATGGTTCCCATAAATGCTTGTTCTGCTATTGTGCCTGGATGGCTGAGTGGTTACAATGCTTGCCTTCAACCCACTGCAGTGGTTTAGTGGTTACGGTGCTTATCTGCTGACTTGAGAATTGCAGGATTAACTCCGCACCACCGCGGCGAGAATGCTCGAGGCCCGTGTACTTGCACTTCGGTGCATGGTAAAGGACGCCAGGTGGTTTATATTTACGGAGCCCTCCACTACAGCATTACTCATAACCATACTGTGGTACTGAGACATTAAACCCCAACAGTTATGACGCCCACCTTCTGACTGTGGGTAATCAACTTTGAATCCTGCCCCACTAAGATAGCTTAATAATGTCTCCTCCTCTTCCTCCTTTCCACTTTCCCAAGCAGTGTTTTCTCCTCATGCCTGGCTCGGCCCGCCACGGTGGTTCAGTGGCTAAGCTATTCGGCCACTGTCCCGCAGGTCACGAAATCTAATCCTTGCTTCGGCAGCTGCATTTTCGATGGCGAAAATGCTGTAGGCCGGTGTGCTCACAATTGGATGCACGTTAAAGAATCACAGGTGGTCAAAATTTCTGGAGCCCTTCACTACGTTGTCTCTCATAATCGTATGGTGGTTTTGGGACGTTAAACCGCACATATCAATCAAATTGAAATCCGTCCTGGCTCCTTGCCTGAGCACTCCTTGTTCTCCTAGGCTTTACTGTCTCCCAACCCAGGCTCAAACCTCCTTCCCCACTCGCTCCATCACTCCTTCGCTCCCCCTTTTTCCTCGACTATTCTCTCTTTCCTTTGCACCTGCTATTCTCTGTAATGGGGCTTGCCCGATTCCTGTGGTGCATACCCACCGAGAGTTTATGGATACCTCTGGACTTCGCTCGAGCTTAAGCTGCTCCTTTAAGAAAATCTAGCAGCTGCACGTGAAGTTTCTTTGTTTGATTATATGCTCAGTAAATGAAAACAACTCCTAAATTAACTAGTATTTTCGATCACTTTCTTCGTAAGTTGAAGCTTCATTAGCCAAGAAACTAGAAAAATGAGACCTATGGCAGTGTTGCATTGAATTTTCAGTTAAAGGGGCCACGACACCCACTTTTTTTTTCACAATCGGTGTTACTGGGTGTAATATTTACGATCACATGTGGGTGGGCTATACTTAAGGGCATTTTGTTAAGCACTTAATTTATAATTGAATATTTTTATAATCATGCCAGCATTGATGCACTCGCGAGCCGCGACGTAACAAGCTGCTTGCTCTGCGAGTGTCCTGCATTCTGGCTAACAATTTTATCCTGTCATTAGCTGCTAGATTAATCTAGCTCTTAAGGCTTTCTTTAGCTTCGTATTGAAATTGAGCTATCTCCAGTGGTTGAAACTTGGGTTGATGACTACAGTTCTGCTCCATGCACCATGTGTCACACTCACCATGGCAGAATCATGGTTGCCCGCAATGGGTGCAGTTTATAATTGGTAACTTCTAGAGCTTATTTTGCTCTACTATACTAATTTACTGTCCATTTGCCACGTATTTATAGGCGCAACGGATTTTCTGCAGCTACTTTTGCCTTAAATACTTCAAATTGTTGAGTGACCGTGTCATGGCACCTTTAACCACCACTGCGAGACGTCAAGGATTGAGACAGTGTCTGCTCAGAGTTAATAATTCACTTGCTGATCAAGAATGGTTACACTGCATGTCCAAAGGAATGAATGTCCCAAAATATGCTGGACCATGTTATTCACAACTAATACAGTATCACTTTGTTACCTACTTTATGTGTATCACACACTGCACGTAATTATGGAGCTCATTCTTTTGTTACGCCGTGGGGAGTCGAATAAATAATCAGCAGCTAGCACGTGCTCTCTCAGATTCCGAGTCGGTCTTCCTGTTTGGTCTACCCAAAAACCCAAGCTATCTTAAGATAAATTTAATTAAGATCTTAATAATTAGGAAGAAGGTAAGTAGGGATTTCTTCATTTAATATATGAAAGTTATGGCCTTGCTAATTAAGACACTGCTAATGATCATTGATAATAAGGTTAGTTGGCAGCTAGTGCAAGCTGCCAAATTTTTTGGTGCTGTGCCACATGCTTTCTTTTTTGCCAGCAGAATAACAGCTGTTCTTGTGCCTGTGGCATTGCAGACGTCCACATTGCCCAGCGGCCTGACAGTGACCGCCTTAGAAAACTACTCGCCAGTCACGCGGCTCGCCATTGTGGTCAAGGCTGGCGCCAGGTATGAAGATGGCAGCAACCTTGGCATCACCCACACCCTGCGCAATGCAGCAACCTTGGTTAGTTTGTTTCACAAAGCTTTTTTTTTTCATGCTGGCAATATATATACACCATTTGAAAGGCATTTCATTGAAATGTTAAGGATACTGTAGTTACAGCTGCAATACTTATTGCTTAACTACTTATTGTTTTTTTTTTTTTGTCAAGTGCGTAGCCCTTTAGGGGCCCAGCTTGTTGTCCCTCTGCTGTCTCGCGTCGCATGGTCACACAGTGGTCTGGTCGCGCAGTTGTCAAATACAGCCCTGTAACAAGGCTAACTATCCTAAAAAAAGTGAATGATAAACCTACCTGGTCTAAAATTTCATAAACTACACTAATAACCAAGATTTAATTGCAATAATTCACCTAAAAATAGCAAAAAAGGATTCTGAAGTATTTAAATTATAACCACCCTGTGCAAGGGAAGGTGCCACTGCCTCGGCAAGCGCGTGATTGCTAAGGGATTGCTGGATTGTCTATGCTACGCACTTTGTCAGTCTTCATGGTAGTGGATCAGCATTGAGCTTGCAGAATTTGAAACTACGCCAAAACCTACGCAAGGACAACAGTAGCACAAGATGTAGCATGGATATATTTTTTTTTTTGCGGCTATAAGTTTTTAAATTTATATGCCTAAGTTTCGTTTTTCAGTCTTGCCAATCTTTGGCCATTATTGTAAAACGTTCAAAGCCCTGCATCCTGAATTTCCTTCCTTCAGTCTGCTGACTTCAGTTTTCGTTTCTAAATATCAAAATTTTGAATCAGCTTGGTCGAAGTTAACCACGAGGTCAAGTTCCTTTAAAGTAATATCTAGTATGCATGCTGTGGAATCTCGACGATACGATTACGGCTGATGCAAATTTCATAATGATACGAATTTTAAGGTTCGGATGGACTACATTTTATGAAATGCGCTATGATTCGGCGTTATACTAACGGTTTTTTCAGCTGGCGCGGTTGATACGAACACGCGATTGACCGCTGCTTGTGAACGGCACAACACGGCTTGTCCGTGGGAGGAAGACCTGTTCACACTTGGCCTAAGGGAGGCAATGCGGCAAAACTTGCGGGAATTGCCCTCGCTTCGCTGCCTAAGTGGCCGGAAAACCACGCAGCAAGGCCGATACGAAAAAATCTGTTGGTGACCAATCTTTCCGCCACGCGATAGCAGATCGCCTTTTTGCTTCACGGCTTTGCCTAGACCACAGAACGCCACACAGGCTGCACGAGCTTTCAAACCATGTGATGTAAACAACGAGCTGCAAATTCAAGATGGTGGCAAAGGCATCGGTAGTGGCTCGCGTCGGCGCTATCGTGAACTACCTGCGCAGCTCAACAAAGCTTGCGGCCTTGGCAAGGATGCGTTCATCGAGAGCCTGGTTTGGATTGCGATCGCTGCGGACACTGGAAGTAGAAGGTGCAGCAGCAGCAAGTCTACATGCCCTAATGTGCCTTGCTTTTGCACTGCTGGCTGAATCAGTCGTCGCCGCTGCCGGTGCGTCCGCTCATGTTGTTTCTGCTAGTGTATCTCCCAAAGCGACATTTGTATAGCTGTAAACTTGCATGCATAACTAGAACTCGGTATGAATTTTATTGCTCAGGATACAGGCCAAATGGAAATGAATTCTGAAGCGGCGAAGGCGCTGGCATATATACGAGGGGCAGAATGAATGTGAACGTTTTCGACAGACCCGTGCGTGGTTTTGCAGCCGCTCTGGCGTTTTCGCTTAAATTCTCCTGTGTGAATATTCCGAGACTCATTTTTTTCTGTGTCAACATCGCGCCACGTTTTTCTGGTCGCTTAAGCGGCGAAGCGAGTGAACTTCCAACAAGTTTTGCCGCTTTTCCATCCCTGTGATGCCAATTGTGAACGCCCTTTAAGTGCAGCAACATGAGTGAGGAAACCGTGGCACTTTATTGAAAGGCGGTGAAAGCATAAAAGTTCAAAAGAACGTCATGGACATTTTTTTTTCAAGAAGTAGTTGACCCCAATAATGTTCTTGCTCATCTTCATGGTCAGCTTTAACTTGTGTTTGGTTCATACGAATCATACGAATTCAGTATGATACAAATATTATGTATGCCCCCCTTCGAATTTGTATCATCGAGATTCTACTGTAGTTCTATAACTACTAAGCGATTCACAGTCAAATTGTAAAGCAACATTGCCTCGCAGCAGGCCTGAAAAGAGCACATTTGCCTTTCGTGGTAGCTTAGCTGTTCAGCCATGGTGCTCGTAAGTGTGCTCATAAGCCCGAGGAGGCTGGATTCATTCCCGGCCGCAGTGGCCACGTTTCAAACCGGGGCAAAGTGCAAAGAACAACTGTGTAATTCTACTAAGGTACGCGCTAAACGGCTGCAGGTGGTTCAAATTATTCCGAAGTCCTTCCACGGTGCACTAGTCACGTTTCTTGGGCCTGTAAATAAAGTTTCACCATCCATCCAGCCTCCACTGCTCCGTGCCTCATAATCACGTTGTAATTCTGGCATGTGAAACTCTGCAATTAACTTTTCAGTCATTGAGAATCACGCACGAATGTATGCCGAATAGCTGAATTGTTGTTTTTCTTGGTAGAACAAAATTGGTTGAACGACCAATTTTTGCGTCCTGGTCTCATGCGGACGCTAATAAATGTCCATCTTATTTCTCGAGCGCACGCCTGTTGTTTAGTTAGCCACATATTTTACACCTTGTCTCGGCTTTCTGCAGGCCACCAAAAGCCACTCCAAGTTTGCCGTCACCAAGAACATTGAGTACGTCGGTGCCAACCTGACGTAAGTGCAGCGTTCTTTGCACTTGTTGGGCTGCAGTTGCAAGATTAGGGTGAGGTAATTGAACTCGTCAAGTGCACGTTGCTTTTCAAGAAGGGTACATAAGCAAACGTGCAAAGCTCTTGCTTCCTGATTGCTAATACCATTGTTATTAAATCAACAGGGTTAGTTATTAGCTTCCCATGGGTTTTCGTGGTTGGCAGATGGAGATACAGTACAGTAAGGTGTAACCTACATGTCTGTGTCACAGAATATCGCGTAGCTAATACACGGGTAGGCATCCCTGGGCCGGACCTATTAGCCCTTTCATGAGTAGAGTGACATCTGTGTACGCCCAGCAGCCATGGTCACACATAGATGCCACCCCACTCATTGTGTTGTGCTTGAATTGACGTTCATGGTGGCACACTAAATGGCACAGTGGAAGAACAAAGGCTTAAATGTAAACATCTTTGACTGCAATGTGCCTGGTTAGGTGAAATAATTCTACACTGAACTGACACGGGCCCTAGTTTTTGAGACCCAATGTTTTATGACCCTATTATTCCTTCCTGCAAGGCTTGAGTGCATTGGTCGTGGAAGCAGCATCGTTATTTCTCATCAACTTGATTGCTTCTCTCCATGACCTCGTGAACATCGTGCACCCTTGCAGTAGGCAATGCTTGCAATGTGCAGTTAAAGGTACCCTGAAGCTGTTTTTTGAGGTTTTATTAGCGTTTTAGGCTAGAGCATCACCAAATCGATCGCACCACAAATTTAGCGACACACCGTGTACCGAAGCCGCTAGGGACAATTATATTATAGCCTCCTTCTCGCCTCTGCCTTGCCTGCTCAACTCATTAGGCACACTGGCATCACTGGTGATCGCGGAGCTCTCATGAGCGCACTCAACAACTTGAGCTTCACGCACTCTAGACCTTCGAGATTACAGGCCAGCAGGTAGCGCGCTATCTCGGAGGCCATTAGACAGTGCACCTGCCATCACGTACGCCGTCTGGAAACAGGGATGATCAAGGACTGGTTGATACCTACTCCGACTGGTGCCGCCACCCTACCAGCGCATCTTGCTTCCACCATTCCACGGCCTGTCAGATCAGCAGCCGGGGTGACATCGCGCTGCCAGAGCATGTCTTACTGTGATTGCGTGGTTGAAAACGCGTTTGGCTGAGTTGCAGCGACATGCAGTGATTCGCAGCTTTAAAGCATTGTAATAAATCGCACAGTTTACACAAAGAGCTGAAATCAGTCTTTAAATGACCCTCACCACTTGGTCTATCAGCCCAATGTATTTGTACAAAATCGTCAAAATTGTTTGAGGGTCCCTTTAATGTTGTTGGGAGTTGTTCGGAACCTATTGCGACTAGGCTTGTGCGAATATTCGAATGCTTTGAATATTATAACGATAATAGAGTACTCGAATTCACTTCGATTCGTGTCTAACTACTTGTAAAGATGGTTTCACCGCAGTGTGGGGGTGCTAAACGGTCAAAGCACCCATCCAGGGAAAATCCGCTCTGCCGCGAAGCCCCACTTCAATTTTAAAGGGGCCCTGCAACACTTTTCGAGTATGGTCAGAAAACGCTACTGTTTGGTGGTTGAGGCTACTGCAAACACTCGAGCCAAATATTACAGCGCAGCACGTGGCCTGCAATCCACAATAAATTCTGAGTCAGCTAAAAAATTGCTCTTTTCTCTCCTAAATTGACGCCACAAGCTCAAAAATCACTCGTCACAGCCACTGTATCAGCCATTGGCTGATTTGAGCACGGCACGCTCTGTCGTTATTGGAGCCGCCACGAAGGCCGCCACTTGTCCACACGTATGATTTCACTGAAAAGTTGCATGTTCGAAGGAAGAAATGGAGAAAAAATGTGCTCAAGGTCACAAGGCGCGTGTGACCTATTTTCTTCTATTTTCTATATCTCTCCCTGCTTAGCTTCCAGCGCTTTCATCGGGACAAGAAGAGAGAATGCAATTGCAGCGTGCGACTAATTTTTGCAACTCTGCTTGTACTGGGCGGATTCTAAAAATTTTTGTAATGGTGAATTTGTAAGGCAATAAGCTTCTTTACTTCCGTGGCTACTTGAAGAAGTATTGCAGGGCCCATTTAATTGAGCTTATTACCCTCAAATTGATTAATCAATTTCTCAAGCATAAAAGCTTGTTATGACAGGTTGTATGCTCCAAGTATAATAAATTTTAAGATGTCACGTATTTTACAGGTAATCGCTCGGATCTTACCGAAAGTCAAATCCTGCTACTAATCAAATTTGTTTAGGCTTCTTTTGAACAACAAAAAAGAAAGCATTTGCATAGACATCTTGTTTCAATCTTCAAAAAATATTCTGCAGGTTAGTTAGGGGTCAGGATAAATATGCCCATTCTTCTATAAATGTCATATATACCATTCGAATTCGATTTGAAGTTATTTTACCAAAATCACTATTTGCTTTGAATTCCCTTCGAACATAAAATTCATTATTTGCACAGGCCTAATGGCGACTCAGCCAGAAGCCTTTTTCCCCAGGTTTGTCTCATTGTCTGTGGCAAGGGCACTGTCAGAACCGATCGCATAATCATGATTCTCAAAGTGCTTTCCAAGAACTCTTCACCGAACATCCCATCTCCACATGTAAATCCTGTGTTGGTTGATTCTGTCGTAAAAGTGCGTGCTTTAAACGATGTAGCTGGCCGGGCACTCCGGCCATGACAGCTTATAAATAAGGTTCTGCGTTTTTGGAGTTTGTTTTTGTTGCTCATTTTTTGGTACCATTTGGCGTTTATTAGAGTTTATTTTGTGTAAATTTCCAATTTTCTGAAATTTGGATTTATAGACGGGCATGCTTCACAAGGTCTGTGTTCAGGCGAACCCCTTTGTAAGAAACACTGATGTAAAAGTCAAATGGGTGTAAGGTCAAATGGGTCAAATGAGTCAAATGAATGTACTGCAGGCACCAAAGTGCCTGCAGTAAAATGCGGGTTAAGAAAATGCATGCGTGGTACCCTGCTTATAAGAGACATTCCATATGAAAAAAAAACAAACAAGAAGGGCTGTCCAGGACATGCCTCTTATAAGAGGTTCAACTGCATTTGATATTCTCTGCCATGCCCATGTGACTGCTGGGGGACCGTACATCAAGATGGCTTGAACTCTTGGGGGTCTTTTGCTACGTGGTCTCTTGTTTTATGTGCGACAAGTCCTTTGTAAATTCGTGATGGGTGCCTTCTACGAGATACTGTTGACATGAGGTAAAGTGTATACCGGCCAAACTGGCTGATGTATGAACGATTGTTTTGAACATGCTCTTTCCATAACGAACGAAATGTGGTCATATTGGCCGTTGCAATCTGGAGTTTAACAGATAAACCTGAATCGTCGGAAGTTCTACTAGTGAATCTTTATAGCTTTCTTTTTAATTTATTGGAACACACAAAGCCCTGCTTTTAGATGACTCACTGAAATTTTTCTTTAGACGACCCTTCTTCTCTTGCCTGCAGCAGCAGGAAACTAGAAGAAATGTAGCCAGTTCAAGGAAGTTATTTCAGTTACTAGATCCTTTGGAGGCCTAAAAATTTGTTCATCCTTTTCCAACAGGGCGTGCAGCACACGAGAGCACATCATCTACCTGTTGGAGTGCAACCGTGACGATGCGTAAGTGCTGATGTCCTACTCCTACAAGTTGAAAAAAAAATGTCTTCTCTAGCAATCAAGCCCTTTAATATTTTTTTTTACATATCTTTCTTTGCAGTGAGCCAAAGGAATGCTCCTGTGGTTGGGTGTTAATGAAAGAGAGACATAAAAAAAGAAATGAAAATTCAGTAGTGCAATATCGTTCAATTGACACCCTGATTGATTGATTTCTGGGGTTTAACGTCCCAAAACCCCGATATGATTATGAGAGACGCCGTAGTGGAGGGCTCCGAAAATTTCGACCACCTGGGATACTTTAACTTGCACCGAAATCTGAGTACACGGGCCTACAACATTTCCGCCTCCATCGGAAATGCAGCCGCCGCAGCCGGGATTCGATCCCGCGACCTGCGGGTCAGCAGCCGAGTACCTTAGCCACTAGACCAGCACAGCGGGGCTCAATTGACACCCTTTTCTACATTATGTTCCTTTAGTGGTTAATGCACATCTTAATTATTCCAATGAAATGAAGCACCAGCGTAGCATAGTACAACCTTGAGCGCATTCATTTGGTGCTCTATGTTATGCGTGTTAGCTGTGCATATTTCCAGGTGTACGCATGCATTCATAGCTGTCCATACGTGCCGTACGTGATTTACTGCATTGCTGTTCTCTCTTCAGAGGGTTTTCGTGCCCTTTCAAGCTGTGCTCACTCGTTTGTCTCATCTTCTAGCAAAGAAATGATATTGCATAGTGAGAGATTGCTGGTAAACTCCGGGAGGAATCTTGGCTAGTGGGTTGTAACTAAGATGTACTAAATGCTTCATTAACGATGCTCTGGGTACGTATCATACGTTTCCGATTATAGGTGTATGTTGTTTTTTCTTTTTCATAAAATCGCCCTCCAATGTTCAGGTGTCGACCCATAATCGGAGTCAATCTATACGGAAATCATAAAGTCGACTTTTCCAATGGGCCCGAGTAACGATTGTCGTCCTCGAATTCATTGCTATTCGACGCATCGATAACATCATACGCAGAGGCAACGTAGTCGCGGGAACTGCTATCTCCCGACTTGCGCACACCGCTTTCAGAGCTAGACATTTTTACGACCTGCCATGAGAATCGCAAGATTATATAATTCGTTAGTCTCCAACAATGGACATGCTTCGTAATCATGTTGTAGTTTTGTCACACAAAATCCCACAATTCAATCTTTCCGTTCTTCACTACTCTATTGAAAGGTGGAGTTGATTTGCATTTGTCATCATTATGGATTCTTGGGTAGAATGCCGATGTGTCACGGTGTGTCACATTTGAAGTGTGGTGAGCAAGCCTGCTCTTTCTTTTTATTTCTTACCGTACGTTTGCGCAGTCATGTGGCTCTCAAGTTTGTCCACGAGGCAGCGTTTCTGCCGGCCTTCAAGCACTGGGAAGTTGACGATGTGGCACCCCACCTCCACAAGGAGCTGGCCCTGTTTCGGCAGAACCGAGAGGCCGGTCAGTCGCTCCTTCCTCGGCCACTGCCCCATTGGGGATGAACAGTGTTGCATGCCATATCTCTTTGCAACTCGGAATCCTCATCTGGAGATTACGTTAATAAAACTTTCTGTTAGGCTATTTGCTACATGCTTAAAGGGGGACGCGGGGATCAAATCGCGAAATTCTCGCAAAAAAACGAATTTTGGATAAGGGCAGATTTGGATTCTGCATCACCATTTCTATCATATCTAAAAATATTTCCGCCGAAAACGATCTCAAAGTAAGCTTAAAAAATGTTTTTCTGACCGCGGATCGCAAAAAGCTGGCTGAAATCTGCGCGAAAATGGCCCATTTCCGAGCGCGATACTTCCGCGCCTTCGCCGCCGCTCGCGGAAAGCTTGGTGTCACTGGAAAGCTTGCTTCACCGCCGTACTTCTCCCGGTGAAACCACGACTCTACGAGCTAAGATAAACGCACAAACAGAAAAAATGCGAAGGCATCCGCGACGCCTTAGACGCGCACCCATTAGTCGCTCCTGTCACGTGGTACTGAGCGCGCTCTGTGAGTGGCTGCTGGGACGCGCTTGCTTGCGCTGGTCGTCTGCTCCGCGCACGCACGTCTGCTACGCACACGCTGGCGCACTATAGTTTGCGAATCCCCTGCCGATACGCCGATACGGTTGCCGATACGCCAACTCTTCTCTAGCGCGAGGCTTAGCGCCCGCAATGGATCGTCGCGTGGACCGGAAGCGCAGGACGAAGTACCGGACGAAGTACGCTTACGGGAAGCGTAAACGCAAGCCTCCTGTTGGGAAAACGAAGCAGTCAGCAGCGATTGAATCAGACGAACCGAGTACCGCGTTGCCACCAAGCTACGTGTCGTCGGAAGCCGACACCTGCTCGCTGCCGATGCTCGGCAGTGAGGCCTATGACGCGGGGCCGTCAACTAGCCGCGACATCGCGGTGCGGTTCGAGTGCGACAGAAGTCTCGTTTCCGTGGCGGCGGATGACGACGTCGTGCCAGCTCTTCAGAATGATGGCGAGTCGACGGCCGGTAGTGAGGCCTATGACCCGGGGCCGTCAACTAGCCGCGACGTTGCGGTGCGGCCCGAATGCGAAAGAAGTTTCGTTTTCGCTGCGGCGGGTGACGATGCGGTGCCGGCTGTTCAAAGTGACGGTGAATCGACGCCTGGCAGTGACACTGAAGACCCGGGGCCATCAACTAGCCGCGGCATCACGGTGCGGTGTGAACGCGAGAAAAGTTTCGTTTTCGCGGCGGCGGACGACGACGTGGTGCCAGCTGTCCAGGATGTCGGCGATCGTTTGCCTCAGCGGAAGCGCACCGTTCAAATACACCTGGAACCTCGTTTCGTGTCCTCGGAAGGCGCCGAGAAGCAAGCCAGCAGTGTCTGCGATGCACTTCGCGAGGTGTCGGCAACGGAGCGGAAGTTCGTGTTCGCGCAGCAAACGGAGCAAACATCGGCAACAAAAGAGGATGAGTTCACCCTAATTCAGGTTTCTGCCATGAATTCCCTAATAGGACCTGCACTCTGCCCAAAATGTTGTAAGAAGACTTTGTCAGTGCAGCATGGGACAAAATTGGGCCTGGCAGTAAAACTGGTACTTTTGTGTGCTTCCTGTGGCCCTATTCATTCACCTTGGTCATCCAGTAGAAAATCCGAAGGAAGGGCTTTTGAAGTCAACCTAAGAGCCATGCAAGCAATCAAGTCCATTGGAAAAGGGCCCCACTGCCCTGAATGACTTCTGGGCTACAATGAATGTCTCTCATCGGGGCATTCATCAAAAAACCTATCAGGAACACCTAAAAAAACATTCAAACCAGGAGCAGAGGAAGCTGCACAAAACATCTTTGCAGATGCTGTGCTTGCGGTAAAAGACGTGTACAGTAAGATGCAGCCATCAAGCCCAAACAACATCACAGTTGTGTATGACGGCACGTGGCTTACAAGAGGCCACAGCTCACACATTGGGGTAGGATGTATTATTGAGTTTTACACGGGGCTTGTGCTAGATTGCACAGTCCTTTCCAACTTCTGTCTTGGGTGTTGTCAACAACCAGCAGAGAGCGACCCCAACTTCGTCACTTGGGCTGAGAAACATCAATGTCAGAAGAATACTGATGTTGGCTCCGGACAGATGGAAGTGGAGGCTGCTCTGACACTTTTCAGGCGCTCTGTCAGCAGGTATGGCCTCCGCTACACCAACATTATATGTGATGGTGACAGCCGAACCTATCTTGCTCTGTGCAAAGATGAGGTGTACGGCTTCATACCACTGACCAAAGAAGACTGCGTGAACCATGTGCAGAAGAGAATTGGCACCGCTCTCCGCACACTGGTGACAAGAGCTAAGAAAGGGGAGCCATTGGGTGGGAGAGGTGGACTGACGCAGGAGTTGATTAAAAAACTGACCAGCTACTACGGGTTAGCCTTGCGAAAACACACAAGTGTCCCTGACATGCAAAGGGCCGTGATGGCCACTTTTTATCACGTCAAGTCCACCGACGACGAGCCTCACCATGAGCTCTGCCCACCTGGCCCTGATAGCTGGTTCAGCACAGGCCAAAATGGAGCCAGCACCACCTCACAGGTATAACCTGTCGAAACGTGTAGCGGAGGCTCTGCTGCCTGTATACCAACGTCTCTCTGACCCGCAACTGTTGGAGCGATGCAAAGGCAACAAAACTCAGAATGCGGCGGAAAGCTTGCATTCAGTTATTTGGTCACTGACTTCAAAGGACCAACACGCTTCATTGTTCGCAGTGGAGACAACAGTACATGAAGCAGTTGCACGCTACAATTTTGGGAATTTGCGAGCCTACACTGAAATGTGCAAGTCCGTGGGCATCAAACCTGCTAGCCTCGCCCTTCAAAGAGCTGAAGAAAAAGACCAGCAAAGAAAACGAAAAGCACGCAGTGCAGAAAAAATGAAAGAGAAAGGACGTAAGAAGACCCTCGCAAGCAAAGACACAAAGTATTACAGTCCCGGGGCATTTTGATGGACCTTTACTGACTGTTCAACTTTAACGCCAGTTTTCTCAGAAACGTGTTTTGACCCGACTGTCCAGCTTGCCACGATGCTTGCATGACTATGGCTTGACGGATTTTCATGTGGTTTTTTGCATTGTGTTCCTCAGTGAATTTTCTATGTCGTGACGTTTTCATATTTGTTAATTACTACCTCAGTATTTTTACTCCTAAGCTAATTTCACATTATGATAACGACCACATTTACAAGCATGTATACAATGTTCTCTGTAAAATAAAAACAGAGTCATAAAAATATTTGCAGAATGTCACGACATCAACCATCCCAGTGGCTAAAATATAAGAGCAACTATAGGCTTCTACCATGTTTTTTTGTCACACCAGGCTTTGGGCAAGTTTGGTAGTACACTGATGGATAAAAAAATTTATAATGCCAGAACTACTGGAGATAGCTGAATGAAACTTTGTCATTTATCATTTAGCGCAGTTTCCAGTAAGCATGCCAAATTTCATTGCTCTACGACAAAAACTAAAGAATTTCACTTTCGATCCCCACCTCCCCCCTTAATGAGCTACAAAAAGACGCGTTCAATCAAGAAAGGAAAATTAAGGACAGAACGGAAAGGGCGTCTGAGAGGGCTGACCATGGAAAGGCTGCATTTGTAGTTTGCGTCTGTAGATGCCTGCTTCAAAAACTTGTTACCCTGCTTTTAAAATTCTCTCTTCATTTCTTTATCAATATAGATAAAGCTTGGTGAGTTTATTGGGTGCTGATTTCAAATAGGCAGCTGGTTTTTCTTATAATGTGTAGTTTGTATAATAGAAAATGTTTCATGTGCCTTTTGGGGAGCAAGATTTTTGCCAAACTGAGTGAGTTACAAAGTAAATAAGCATATCATCATAATATGGAATCAGAACTGTGCGCAGTGCAACAAAAATAATAAATAAAAAAAATGGATGTTCTAAACCCATCAGAACAAAAGTTGTAGTATGGTGAACATTGCACAAGTGACTCAGTTTCAAGCTGGAATTTCATTCGTGAATGTTTGTGGATGCCTGCTCCAAAACTGTCAAGGCAGGTTGCGCTGTCGCGAACTCTGCCAAGTGACGGTGGTTCGTGTGCACTGTCTTCCACAGTGCTCATGGAGGCGGTGCACTGCCGCTGCCTTCCGAGGCGGCCTTGCCAATTCCCTGTACATCAAGGACTTCCTCGTTGGCCATTACAACAATGAGAAGGTGAGTGGTGATCTGCATCTCTAAGTGCGCCGGCAGTTTTTTAAGCGCATTTCCTTTGCACATGCAATCTGCTGTAAGTCTGTCCCTTTTAGCGAGGTTTCTTGGATGCCTTGTGGACATTTTTATGATGCTAGGGTGCTTTGTAGGTGAGGTGTAAAAAAAATGTTTTGTTTGGTTGATTTTGTTCCAACTTTGAGAGCTTGTGATACAAGAGCCACATAACTTTGCTGGGGTATTGCGTTTCATTTCGGTCTTACATGTACACTTTTGCAGAGTTGAGGCTTTTGATAAAAAAAAAAAAGAAAAAGTTTTTTTTTTTTTCTTGACTGTTGCACACTCCAATCTTTCGTTTTCAATTGTGCTTGAATGGCACCAAACATGTTCCTATGTTCTTGCTCATGAAAATTACACGTGCTACAAGGCGAAAAATTATTTCTGAAGATATAGACCTCAAACTTGATCTGTACCCTTCTCATATAGCATCGCTGTTTCACCGTTGCCCTGAGTTAAAGGATAACTGTGGTGAAATTAGTTAATAGATGCCATTGAGCAGTACACATCAACTGTCTAAGCAATCCTGGCTAAAATTAGCCATCAGCTGCTTGGTTTTCTTACCGACAGCTGCCAAGGGGTGCCTCAGCAGACAATGCATGTGATGCAAATCTCAACATGTCACCTGTCGCCGGTAGTCGGAGGTTGGGCCAAGGCACTGCACTGTTTTGCGGTATCCATTACTAGCATCCAACCTGAGTAGCAAGGGCGATCAGATAACACTTTGTTTAGCTTTATTTTCAAAAATGTCTGTTTCGGTTAGAAATTTATCACTCATCCGATCGTTTATTGCACGTAGCATTACTCACCGACACAGTTCTGTTGTACATGATATTCGTAGCTAGACTTTACACAATTAAAAACTTGTTGCTTCTTAAGTAAGGGACAGATGATAATCACATTGGTGACATTGCAGCTCTCGATCTGCAACTTCAAGCTCTTGTTGAGTAACATTGGAGACTTAGTATAAGAAGTCTGGGACCATAAATGTAAGAACGGGTACGATATATCACTGTATGATAACACAACCTGTTACTGTGGCAGAGTTCTTAATTTTTATTGGCTGTCACGCGGCCTTCTGCGATAGCAACATATCACCAGTGCAGTAGTTCATCATTTTCGAGTTGACAGTTTCGCCAACTGTGATGTCAACACTTTCATCAGATGAGCAGACTGTGCTTTGTGCTGGCACCCTAATGCGCAAAATATGTCTAATTGATTCTACTACTAATTTAGCACACTGAATGCATGTACACATCTTTGGCAGCTCTTAAAACACACACTGACATCTTACTGAAGTATACAAGGTCACGGGTGCGATTTTTTGTCATGACAGCCATCCAGCATTGAGGCAGCGCTATGACGTCCATAAACTCAGGTGTGGTTAAAGTTAAATCTTGACTCCCTTTACTGCGTGTACTTAGGCAGCACTAAGCTATGTATTAAAAAAAATTGAACATTTTCTCAAACAAAACGGAAATCTGTTTACGCGCACAGTCTGCACTTGACAACTCACAATTTCGTGCAGCTGGCCCACTTCTTCAAGAAGCACGTGAGTGCACCACGTGCCGTCATCTCCGTGGTCGGCGCGGAATGCCAGCGGTTGTCGGATGCGATCAAGGGCGTTGAGCTGCCCACCCATCCCGGTGCCGACTTCCTGCCGAGCAAGTTTGGCTCAGGTGCGTTTGCAGACAGTTGGGAGAAAGCATCGGGAGTGCTGCCAACTCGGGCAGCTTGCACAACTAATTTAGCTGCAGTCCCTATGAGTGGCTACTTACCCTCCAGCGTCTACGTTTGTGTATGCAACTTGCTTATGCTCCTTGTGTCAACTTGTGGCCAAAAAAGAAGAAAATAGTACTTGGCTCATTGTATCAATTGAACCTTGCACGTAGTATGTCACGACTTAATCTGCCCCGCCGCGGTGGTCTAGTGGCTAAGGTACTCGGGTGCTGACCCGCAGGTCGCGGGTTCGATTCCCGGCTGCGGCGGCTGCATTTTTGATGGAGGCGGAAATGTTGTAGGCCCGTGTAATTAGATTTGGGTGCACGTTAAAGAACCCCAGGTGGTTGAAATTTCCGGAGCCCTCCACTACGGCGTCTCTCATAATCAAATGGTGGTTTTGGGACGTTAAACCCCACAAATCAATCAATCATCACGACTTAACCTCAGTGTGTGCTGCATGTGACTGTACCCGATCACTTCGGTGATGGCATCGCAATGTTCTGAGAACCAACATAAAAGACAACATTCGAGAACCAACATAAAAAGCATTATTGTTTTTTTTTTGTCTTGAAGTGAATACACTGAAACTTTGATATAACAAAGTAAACGAAGAATAGTCTTGCTATAGACATAGTGTTAAAGACATACATTTATAATAAACGTTTGGATATAACGAAGTTATTTTTGTGTTAGGTGCAAGTTTGTTATAATGAGGTTTGAGTGTGTATAACCAAAAACTAATTGAGCACACATTGGGAGCCTATGAATTCATTCTTTTTATTTCAATACGGAACATGACCAACTGCAGAACAATTAAATATTTTGTGACGTGCTAATTACAATCAATAGCTGAAACTCACTTAAAAGCAATGCATTACTTCATTCTACTATTGAGTACCTAAAAATTACGCTACGGGAATCTGACACGCTTGTAGATGGAGCATCGCAATTCACTTCTGAAGAGGTTATCGCATTGCGTTGAAACACACAATGCCACTGCCATTGAAGTTGCTATTAATGGTCAGCAATGGAATTACGATTAGTGGTTAGCAAATGCATTCTAATGACTTCAGTTTACCGAGAACTAAGTGCACGGTAAATGAGAACGCAAAAGATAATTGAAAATTATTTTTTGCAGAACCCCTCAAAGCGTTCAATAGCTTTTAGAGTGCCAGAGCACCTTTCTAAGACACTCACAATGCTCCCAAAGTGCGTAAGAACATTTCTTATATGTCCTAAAAACAAAAAAAAACTTATTTGGGGTGTCATGGTCACACAACAGTAATTGTCACCTATTTCACATGCTCAAAAAAAAAAAAGAAAAAAAAAACTCATTCTAGGCACGAAGAATAGGCAGGCAGAAAATGACGTTTTAGGCATCTAACATTGCAAATATACGGACACAATAGATTTTTACAGGAATGTAAATAATTTCAAATGAAGGCATGCGTGTCCTGTATTCTACAACAGGCAAAAAACAAACAAAAATGTTTTTGTTTATGATGGCACAGATGCTTTAACAGTTGAGCATAGTCATCGTTATTGTCGTTTGTCCCGCATGGATTGCAGAATGCAGTCGCCCCATTTGTCCTGTAGCTCAGCGGGTGAAGTGCCCATTGTCTAATTGACATGCTCCTGGGCGTCTTTCTTTTCCGCATGGCTGAGAAAGGCAGAGCAGGAGCAGAGTGTCAGACTGCCGAAAGCGAAGAAAAGAGCTGGATGACTCTTATTGGCCGAGTTGAATTGTGCAGTAGCCGCTTTCTGCCCTGCCGGTGAGCACCTTAATGGACCCTTGACAGCAAAATTGTCGTTTGTAACATTTTTACTGTAATTTGTAGTCTTGGTGCCTGGCAATGCTAAAATGGAATCGTAAATGCTCTATCGTATTGTGTAATTAATGCTAGCATCATTAATTAGGACCATTTCTAGTGAAACTTCTAAACGCTCACCTACAATCTCAAGAAACTAGTGTCCCACAGCAGAGGAGTGCCCGAGACAATCTGCTCTCAAGCTTCGTTGACGAACGTGCAGTTTTCAAATCGGGACACCCATGTACGATGATTGAAATGATGTGGGTGTTTTGAACAGTTGAGTGTGTCCCCCTTGGAGAAAGTAGTATTCGTGGCGCAAGCAGCCGAAGCCGCCTTAAGGGCGGCCCGACAACTTAGCAAGAGTGGCGAGGCCTTTGCCCCGTGCCAGTCGTCGTTTTGTGTGCGCCCTGTGAATGTTCTGGGACGTCAGCGATACTAGATTTTTTGTGGAACGTCACCAGGGGCCTCTGTCTTAGTCATGGCAATGTCACAAGGTGCTGGAGTCGCACTTACTTTAAAACCAAATTAAATGTATTTTAACCCTTTGAGGGTTGAATTTTTTGCCAAATGCAGTCTGAAAATGTGCAATATTTTTGTTGCTAAAGTGAATTCTTCTGATGATCTTATTTAAAAAAAAAAAAAGCTTTTGCGTGACCGTGAAGTCGCAAAAAAATAACTTTTGCTGTTACATAAACATGGTTTATTCGTGGTAACATTGACAAAGATCCTAAATAATTTCACTTATAAGTTATATATATATATATATATATATATATATATATATTATGCGTTGCAATAAACATTGCTCACAGAATTGCAAAAAAAAAAAAAAAACCCACCAGAGTATTTTCTATGTAGAAAATGTTCTTTCTCAAAATAGAAACGTGTGTGAGTCTTTGAAGCGTCGCTTCACACGGAGAGGTTTGTTGCACTGAACACATGTCGCACATTTCTTAGCAATGTCTCCGTGGGTGAGTGGTGTTGTCACAAACTTTTAAAAGCTTCTCTTGATCATGCTTGCCTTAGCATCGGCGGGCGGCAACTTCTCTATGAAGTGTCCGCCACGCGCTTCTATAGCGCCAGTGAACTGTGTGAGTGAGCGTGGGGGAAAGACCGTATCGTCGTGCGGCCGTCCAGAAAGCAAAACGAGTGAAATTGCCACGATAACACCTTACCTTACCCCGATGAGACAAAGTTAGTTTTTCCAAGTCTCCAAAACAGGTAATGCAACCATGGTGGCACCGTTTGTGTAATTTAGGGTCACGTGGACACAGATGTAATCACACCTCTGGGAGCAATGAATGAGGAGGTAACAAGCGGTCACTGTTTGAGAGATAAAAAAAGCAAACAGCCATCACCTTTGCAGGGCCACGAAGCGATAACCACGCAAAGGACGAAACCTAAAAGAGCCAGACGGCGTGCACGCATTGCAATGTGCAAGCGAAAACAACTGCATCTTGCGTGTTCGAAAGGGAAAAAAAATAAAAATTGGCCCCATATCTGCATGTTTCACTGCAAATGTCGTCGAAAGACAATAGTCTTGCATGTGGGAGAGTGAACAAAACATTTATTTGATGTTCTGCGCGAGAAAATCAGTGAATTGTATTCTGGAAGCGCTGCGTTAGAGAGTCTTGATCCGTGCAGCAAAGGCAAACGAGCGAATCGAGGCACATTAGACACGAGCGCCATCTTTGAAAACGAAGGAAGGCGTGCGAACTCTCAGAGAAAGATGCGCACCTGTCTCGGAAACGATAAGGTGTAGAACACAAAGCGACAGGCAGGTGCCACTGCCGTGTCGTCTTAGCATAGCGTTGGAAACACGTGCCTTTTTGAACACCGCGTTGCACTGTGAGTGCAGCATGATAAACGCTACGGTCATTAGAATTACTTGTGTGTGAATTCTCTAGTATAAAGACACACATAGAAAACATCGACGTGTTGTTATATACCTCAGATATGCACATCAATTGCTTTTTAATTGACAATCGCACAAGTATGAATACTGAAACTTGAGCAATATTGGTGGGCGCTGCGGATGGGGTTGGCCGTTTGAGGTATCGTTTAGTGCCATTTGGGGTATCGTTACCGCGGACAAGCAGACAAATGTACAGACAGACGGAAAGACTGATCAAAATTTTGGTGTCAAAGGTCCCAAAGAAAGACTTAAAAAAAAAAAAGAAACGCACAACGGAGACACATCAACGCATGAAAAAATTCCCGAAGCTTGGCAGCACACGCCAAGCAAGAGAATCGATAGAATGCACTTATTTTTCCTATTAATTGAATACGTGGCTGCTTTCCCTAGTCACTTGAAAGGTCTGCTCTGTACATTGACTTAGTCGAGAGGGGGGCTGTTGTGCCACGGACATGTTCCTCGTTCGGGAGCGCGTCTCGCAGGATCGAGCCCTGTTTCGACGAACTGTCTCCCCCCCCTCCCAGCGCCGCCTTCCGTGCAGAGGAACCGTGCAGTCCGGGGATAACGTCGTTTCCTCCGCCGGACCACTTTGCAGTTCCGGGTATGGCTACGTCTCCCCCTCCGAGCCCGAGAACTGGTCTTAGAGAATGGACCAAAGACGCTATTTAAGGCCGAGCCGGCCCCATGTTAGAGGAGATTTTGCCCCAGCCGATGTTGTCGTGCTGGCCGGCCCTGTACAAACGACAACCTGCTACAGTAAACGCTACTTTTGTTGCTGTTTTCCAAACGGATTGCCTCCCTGTTTCACCTTCGGGCTAAGGCTTCAGCGAAGTCCGCTCGACGGCTCGCCGCTCATCGCCACTGCTACCATCGCGACAGAGCAAATTCATAACAGTGGTTGGCAGCTACGGGATACGATATCCTACGTTTGGCACGCCGGATCAGACCCCTGTCCTCAACGTTTTGCTGCTCTGGGACTCGCTACCCCGATCTCAACGGCTGAAAAGTTGGATCGGATCTCCGAGCACGAGGACGACCGCCCTGATAGCGTTTGGCTACGCTGAGATAGTTACCCTGTTCTCATCGTTCGGCAAACTGGGACAAGCAACCCCGGATCTCAACATTGGCAAGTTGGTCCGGATCGCTGAAGGCCTGATACTGTTCGACGGCAGCCACGAGTTGGACCATCGTTGGCTTCTTTGGTTGGGTGAGTGCCCAACGTTTACTGTTC